ACATGGTACTGTTGACCTTGCCTAGATTCAGGACTAGCTCCTGGGATTTTCCTGAATTCTGCTTCTGTCTTTCACAGGCCCCTTGCACTCCGATGTTTCCCAGACTCCAAAATATCTCCTTGCACAAACAGGAAAGAAGCAGTTCTTTAAATGTGAGCAAAATCTGGGTCACAATGCTATGTACTGGTATAAGCAGGACTCCAAGCAATCACTGAAGATGATGTTTAGCTATTATAATAAGGGAATGACTGTAAATGAAACGGTTCCAAGTCGCTTCTCACCTGAATCTCCAGACAAAGCTCATTTAAACCTTCATGTCATGTCCCTGGAGCCAGAGGATTCTGCCTTGTATCTCTGTGCCAGCAGCCAAGACACAGCCCTACAGAGTCACCAGCTGCCTGTTCACAAACCTGCCAGGCAGCCAGGAAGCTGTGGTGACAATGAGTTCCCTGTGCCTGAGGCTCTGCTCTCCATTCCTGTGGGCCCCATGGAGTGTCAGTGTGCAGCAGCCTCCAGGGTGAATGGTGGGCAGCTGAGTTCTCCACACACAGAGCCCTGCAGAATCCCTCTGGTCAGCTGAGCAGGGACTCCACTATCGTCACTCGCCCATACGAATCCACCAAAGATGGAGGACTGAACACCTTACGTGATGGAGCAGCTGTTCATTGTCCTTATCTGCTGTACATATGGCCAAAACTTGCCCATTATGTTATCAATGAAGACACAGTTGTTAAAAATGTTTGATAAGCACAAACCTGAAAAGAGGCCAGGGTGAATCTTCCCATGATCAAAATGAATTCCTAATTTCAAAGAGTTATTTTAGCAAAATAAATATTTATAAAATATATACATATATACAAAATATAAGTATATGTATACAATATATAAATGTATACATATAATGATACATAAATATATTATAATTTGTAAATTAAATATCATGTAGGTATATATGTATGTGTATACACACACACACACACACACACACATACTTTTTTGGATACACATGTCCATGCTTGGCTCAGGTGAAGCAGAAATCAAGGGTGGCAGAAAAGTAAATCCAACTTCTTCTGCTTTGGAGACTTCAGCCCTTCAGGAAGATGTGTAGTAAGTTCCTGTCCGTATCCCAATTGACAGTTATCTTTGAACCTTCCTCACAAGCAGGAAGCATCCCAATGATGAACCATGCTGGGAGCTTAGGAAGGACTTGGGCACAAATCTCTAGGCAAATCTCTACTGTTGGTACCACCTGACAGAGAAGGCATGATCAGATTTGCATTTGGGTGAAGAACATGGGCAGAAGTGTGGTATAGAAGGCTGATAGATTTTAGAGGAAATGAACAACTAGGAATCTTCTAAAATATTCTATGTGAATTGTAATGCAGTTTATGTAGTGTGCTATGGAAAATAGAGGGTGGAGGTTCTGCATTATGTTATATCCTTCTAAACTGTTTATTCTAGTAGATTGAACATAAGATCTTCAACTTTGCCCTCCCATTGGGTAGTCTTAGCATGGGGTCATTATTTCTCAAGCATGACCTTTTGTGGTCTTAGTGGAATTGACATCAACATCACCCATCTGACTCCACATCTGAGTCAGAATGCCAAAGTCCTCCAGGTTGAGTGTCTTCTGAAATATTGCCTTAACTATCCAGCCTTCCAGACCTATTCTCTTCTTACCCTTCTGGTGTCTCACCTTCTGCACACAAAGGAAATGCCATAAAGGGGAAAAAAGAGACCTCCTTATACATATTCTTTGGCTCCTTTTCAATTCTCTATACCCCAAATACTTGCTGTCTTGTAATCACATAATTTTTTTATTTATCAGCAAGTATCATATTGTTTTCATTTTATATAGAGGTGCTCATTTTACATACTTAGTTTGCTTCATTACTGTACTCTGAACTCCTCCTCCATCATCATCGTCTTCATTATTGTGATTATTATTATTTTGCTACCCCATAATGGAATTCCATGGATAAGAATACATATGTTCTTCTGCTTATTCCTAGCTGTTGCTCAGATCACATCCATTGAGCAAAGCACACTGGTCAATATTCAGGGCTGAAAGGTCTGTATCTGCTCAGCTCACTGCTAAGAATCCTGAGATGGACAATCTCTGTATAAGTGCAGTGTCCTGGGTGTGTGGCTCCTGGTGCTAATCCCTCTGCTGTTTCAGATTCTTCATTCTCCCCTGGCTGTTCCAGCCCTCCCCAGGGGCTGCTGGCTCAGTGCCACAAGGGGCAAGTCTGGGTTGCTGTGGCTGGAACTGGAGAGACCTGAGATCTGGAGAAGCTTGGCTTTGGCCACAGGGTGGCGCTGGGCTGTGGGGTGAGGCTGGGCTGGGAGGGGTGGAGGAAGTGGAGAGAGTGGAGAGGAGGGCTCAGCATCTGACTCCATCCTCCTGTCTATGGGGCGCATTGGTTTACACAAGTCACCAGAGTCAGTTCCAAAGTGACTCCTCTTGTCTTGCAGCCCCTGTGTTATGGAATTCTCTTTCTGAATCTTGTGTGCCAGATATGATTGTAATAAGCATTGCCAACCCCCATGGTCAAGGACAGAGACAGGGACAGAGGCTACTCCTCCCAGTACTTCCCCAGACTCTGGCTCCAGGCTGGAGTCACAGTCATGCACCTTAAATGGTGACAGTGGTCCAGAAGGGCACCATGGCCATCTAATCACCCTCCCTCCTCAAAGCTGGGCCTTCAAACTTAGACCTGGAGAAAGCGATGTTTCCAGGGTTCTGTCTCTGAGCTGTGACTGAGTAAGGGAGAAGGAAGATCACTTGAAGGGGAAGTGGTCTGCCTTGAGAGGGGTCCTCGGACAGAGGAGTGGAGGGAGCTGCATAACAAGGCGAGCAGCTGAGGGCAAAGGGCAACTGTCAGAGGAGAATCCTGGGGAGCAGAAAGAGGGCTCTGCTCCTGGTGCATTCATGCCCTTGGTCCATCCTGGTCAATGCAGATGCACTGCTATAGGAATCTAGGTAGAGAGTCCTGGGAGGAAGAAATATCCCCTGGACCTGGGGAAACAGTCAGGGACAGTTTCATCACAGGCAAATCCACCAACCAGGGCCCTGGAGACTTGAGATAGCCCTGGGCCAGGGTCCTTGCCAGAGGATGCCCATGTAGGACATGACTCCCCCATGGGCTCTGGGTGGCTCTGCTGTGTGATCATCTGTGTCCTTAGGGCAAGTGAGTTCTGGGCTCCCAGGGGCTGTCCTTGGACTTCAAGCTGTTGCTTGGAGCTACAATAAGAACCTTATTCCTGGGCTCAGTCTGAATTTTGTCCTTTTCTCCCCATAGTCCCCATGGAAACCAGCATTAGCCAGAGACCAGGACACCTCATCATGGAGACAACACATAAGAAGTCCTTGGAACGTGAGTAAACTCTGGGGCATAATGCCATGTGTTGGTACAAGCAGATACTAAGAAGCCCCTGAGCTCATGTCCTCTGCAATCACAGGGGACTGGTTGAAAACCAGCCTGTGCCCAGGTGCTTCTCACTTGAGTGCCTGACACTCTCACTGTCCCTTCACCTGCCTCCTAGGAGCCCCAGCACTCAGCTGTGTCCCTCTGTGCCAGCAGCTGAGACATAGCTCCAGAGTCACCCTCCCCCTATACAGAAACCTGTGGTGACAGCCTGGAAGCTGGGGCAGCTGAAGGCTTTGATCATTCCCTGTAGGACCCCAGACAGAAGCTGCAAACCATAAAAGCCCCTGCCACCTCCGCCCACTGGCAGCCCCTATATTGGATGGCATCTATAGGGGTTTCTTGCACTGCTGTGACTCTGCTCTGTCAACTGATGAAAAGATGAACATTTTGGGTCTAGGTTGTTATATTTTTTTTTTTACTTTTTTGGTACTGGTGATCGAACGCAGGGACACTTAACGACTGAGCCACATCACCAGCCCTTTTATATATTTATTTAGAGACAAAATCTTGGTGAGTTCCTTAGGGCCTCCATAAATTGCTGAATCTGGCTTTGAACTTGTGATCCTCTTTCCTCAGCCTCCCTAGCTGCTGGTGTTATAGGCAGGTGCCACTGTAACTATCTTTTTAAAATTCATTTTCTAACATAAAGTAAAAGAAGGCTGCCATACAGTGGATCTTTTAATTGAAGAATTCAATTGGGTCCTCTACACAACACCTGTGCCACCTCCGTCACATACTATGCAGGGCCAGAGAGGAAACCCTGTCCCCCAGGTGTTCTGCTCAGGGTTTACCACTTCAAAACTCCTTCTCACTACAAGGAGGTCCCCTCAGGACTGCTGCAACCTGAGGGGTCAGCAGCACAGAGCTCAGGGAAACGGAGAAGGGATTTCCAAAACGGGTCCCAAGGTGGAGCCAGCCACATACAAAGGACAATAGGAGTGCTCACCTCTGTGTGTATAATTTATATAGACATAGAAAGATAAGCATATATAGACATAGAGAGTGACTCTTCCAGTTCTGTTCTCCTTCACTTCAGCTTGTCTCTAGTTCAACCTCTACTTCCCTTTCTAGCTGTACTCTGAATGCTCCCCTTATGGAAGCTCCACAGCTGCATGGTCACTTTCTTTGAACCCTTGACCCACTCATGGCCCATGACCCACTCAGCTGGCAGCTTGCTGTTCCCCCATTCCTCTTCCCTTGCTCTGAAATGTCCTTGTGGGTTTCAGGACTCAGTTTCTCTCTGGATCATCTCTTCATAGTGATCTTTACAGTGTTACCTTCTCCGTCCTATGTCTCTTTTTTCCCCCAACATTTGGAACTGTCAGGGTCAGAGCCTCTGCAGTGGACTTTGCATAGACCCGTGGGGAGGAAAGTGGGTCCTGCTGTTGTATTTGGTGTAAGCACCCTGCCTCACTGTCCTGACCCAGGTTACCAAAGGGCCCCTGTCAGCCACGCTACTTAATGCACACTTCAGGATGCTCAGGTGTGACATGGGGCATCTCAGTTCACAATGCTACTCAAGTCTCTGCTCTCTTGGGGGCGTCCTTGAGTCAGTGGGTGCAGCACAGGCTGAGATGTCACTGAATTTCCTCCTGGGACTGCTGAGCCCCACAGCCCCAGCTGGTTGAGGCCTCATCCTGCCCAACCCTGCCATGGACAGCAGCCTCTTCTGCTGGGTGATCTTTGGTCTCCTGGGCACAGGTGAGTCCTGGGAGGGCTTGGGCAATGCCCGTCTTACCTTGACCTGAGGGCAATCCTAAACTTGCCCTTCATTCTCTCCTTGCCCTCTGCCTCCTCCACAGCACATATGGAGCCTGGAGTCAGACAAGCCCCCAGTCATGCTGTCACAGAGGCAGGACAGGATGTGGCTCTGAGTTGTGACCCTGTTGCTGGTCATGCTTCTCTCTATTGGTACCGACAGACTCCAGCAAAGGGACTGGAGATCCTGGTTTCTTTCTATAACAAGCAGCGTTTAGAGAAGGCCGACTTTTTCAGGGATCGATTCTCAGCTGAGAGGCCTGAGGGAGCCTTGTCCACCCTGAAGATCCAGCCCACACAGCTGGGGGACTCGGCCACCTATCTCTGCAGCAGCAGCTTAGGCACAGCCCCTCAGAGACACTTCCTGCCCTTGCAGAAACTCCAGGGCTTCTGCCCCAGGTCTCAGCAGCCTTCCTGCCTCAGGAGGGTGGGCACTGGGTGGGACTACAGGGGTCCAGTGGAGGTTAAAGTACCTCTAATAGAAGACTAAATAGCAATTGGGCTGTCAAGGTCTAGGAATGCCCATAGATACCAGAGAATTGGACAGTGGACCAAAGTATAGAACAAATACAGCCATAGGACTGACCTCATAAACCTCTCTACTGAAGCTCTGCATCTTCTTCAAGTCTTGGGTTTTATTTTTACATATTTTGAAAAGTATGCCTTCCATCTTTCAGGTATTCTAGAGAGAATATGAAGGATTTTCATGAAGACACCTGAAAATTATCCTCACCTGAAAATTTTCCAGTACATGGAAGATCTGACCAAAGTCTGGGTCTGATCAGGATGAATGATCTGGAATAGTAGATGGCAAAGGCAGAGGCCCCTCAGGACCCCGGGCCCAATACAGGGAGGCTGTTTTGGGAACCAGGGCTATCCATGTGTGTGAGAGATGGAGTGCTCTAGGCTAGTTGAGTGCATATTTGTATCTACTTGTTTATTCTGGATAACGCTCTTAATGAATGACCTTCTACCTCTCTTAGCTGATTGGATGGCACCAAGTGCCAGAGACAGTAGGAGGAGGCTCCTTGCAGGGCTCTGTCTCCTTCTCCTACAGAGCATCTGTGCCCAGTCAGTTCTCCACGTTTGCCTGTGCCAGCCTCAGGCACAGCACAGCACAGGGATCTCTCTGCAGAAACAGCAGTCACAAGAGTGAGGTGGCAGTGCCCCATGTCTGCTCCACCAGGCTGTGGTCCATCCCTAGTACCTTTCCCTCCACCCCCATCTTCCCATTCTGCATTCTTCAAGATACCCTTGATTCTGCTCTTTGAAGAGAAAGGTTCTTACTTTCCTTATGCAGGCGACAGCTCTCACTGTACCTCAGTAGAGTCTCTGTGCTCCTTCCCTTGCTCCATACTCTTCTTTCTTCTGATTTCTTCTGGGGTTCTGATTGCAACCCCACCTCATTCCACTGACCATGCCCATCCCCTGTTTTCATGCTGCCTTCTCATGTTAGGCCTCAGGTGCTGGCTAATACCAGCTACAGTTCTATTTTTGGTCATATTCAGAGGGCAGGTTCCATCTTCAAATATTGTTATAAAATTGGGGATTGTAGGTAGATAGATGATAAATAGATAATTCATATAGACATGCATCTATATCTATGAACATATCTATAGAATGTAAAAATCCATGCTAAAATTGCACAAATGTTCTGTAGGTGAACATTGATAAGTTCTTAAGGAAGTTGACTGGACTGAACTTGAGTTTGGTAGGCTCCTACTGAGTTAAAGTAGGCTTCTATGTTAGGAGCTGACCCTCCCACAGACACTAGGAGATAGGGTGCCCCCGTTCATCATTACATTTCAAAGAGATGGTTTGCAGATCATTGATAGAGACATTCCTGGTTATAAAGTTGGTAATATAAACATAGCTTATGTTTATATACCTTTCAAAATGATTTACACAGATTTCAAAGTGGCAAAGAAAGAATTTACAATTACAAAATTTCTAAAATAAATGCTAGAAGAAATGGGAGGATGGGTACCCTGGAAATCCTGGGAAGACTTGAAAGTAGATGTAAGATTAAGGCTAGGAGGGGAAATGGGGAAAGGCTAGGCTCTGCATCATAAGAATTTTTGGAAGGATTCCCAAAGTCTTCACCAAACCCTTCTAAATTCACCATACTAGGTGTGTTGGGTTTGCTGAGCTAATCAAGGACAGTCGTAGCTTTCTGTCCAGATCATGAGACTGGCTTAGAGAAGCCCATGGGAATATAGACATTCATTAGAGTCACAGAAATCTTGGGAAAGACTTTGGATTTCTATACCTTGGGCCCTAGGACATTTCCTGTAGCTCTCAAAGAGGAGAGAACTTCACAAGTGTTATCTGGATCAAAAAAAAATATTATCTTACACAGATTAAAACAGGTTAAGCAATAAAGTGATGATAAGTGTCATTATTTTATAAAACTAATAATACATATTTGTTCTTAAGAACAAACCTCTAAGTGTTTACACTAAAAATTGGCTTCTTTTAGAGACTCATATAACATTTTCCTCATAACAAACCTTTAGAAATGATAATATTCAATATGTCAGATGTGCTAACTATGATCTGCTATGAATTAACCTGAATTATGTGTAGGGCATTGTTGTCATTCTTGTTTGCATTGAGAATCTTCACATAGTATAATTTATCAGGTTTATTAAAATTCTTAGTTTTTCTAGTTCAATAATTTGCATTCTGTGGATATATATCGAGCAGTTGTTCATTGTCGTGTTCCATTTAGGCTACCAGAACAAAATTCTACAACTAGGCAGTTTGTGAGCAACACACATTCATTTCTCACGGTTCTGGATGCTGGAAGTCCCTGGTCAAGGCACTGGCTGATTCAATGTGTCAGGAGAGCCTGCCCTCTGGTTCATAGATGGCAGCTTCTCTCTGTGTCCTCCCATAGTAGGAAGACTATCTAGCTCTCTCTTTACAAGGGAAGTTATCCCAATCAGGAGAGTTCTGTCTTCTTGAGACAGTGTGTGTGTGTGTGTGTGTGTGTGTGTGCGCGCGCGCGTGTGTGTGTGTGTATGCATGCACGTGTAGTTTCTTTTGGAGATTCCTCCACCTGGACACAGTTCTCTGGTGACATATACTGAGGCGCGGTGTCACTTAGAAGCACTCACAGGCCTTTCTAGGTAGTCACAACAAATTCATATCCAACCAAATCAGCCTTAAACATAGCAGATAGAGATTTCTACTGGAAAAACATATGTAATATTTAGAATCCCTCTTTGTAAATTTCACTATTAAAATTTGGTAATGATCAAATTAAAATATTTTTTGCCTCCACAGGCTTTGAAATCCTCCACTTGGACTTGAAGATCAACCCTAAATTGTCCAGGATGAGAAAGCAGCAGAATGAATATGGATAAGAGGGATGAAGGGTGGGGAATCTCCTCTGTTCCTGATTTAGTCAATCATGACATGAGCTCTGAAGGTGGACTCCATGACACTGTGGGCTGTGGACCACTTGGGGGCGCTGTGGTTTCATAGAGCTGCAGGGAGCCTTGGGCAGCCTTGAAAGGTGTCCCAGGAGAGCAGGGGTGATGGGGAAGCTGGCTGCATGCTTGGAACAGCGAAGCAGTTTGAGTTCTCTTAGTTGGTCCCGAACACTTGAAATTAAACAGAGTTATCACTGGTCAGGGGAGAGAAGAGGGCATGGGACAAGAAAGGAAGTTTCTCTGCTCCTATATGGGCAGTGAAAGGTGGAGTGGCCAGGAAAGGGTCAGTGTCAGGCTGGGAGTGGCACTGCGGAGGTGGAAGCAGCATGGAAGGACGTAGGGTGTGAAACTGGCCCAGGAGGAGGGTGCTCAAGCTGACCCACCTTCAGATCAGGGGCTGTGCAGGGTACAAAGGGCGCTGTGGGTACAGCTTGGGTCTTGTCATTGGGTACAGATGGCCTGCAGGGAGGGTCATGTGAGAGCATGACATTGATGCTCTTGGGGAGACTAGAACTTCAGAACCTCCTGCTCAGCCCAGAAGGCCCCACCCCTCAGCCAGGAGTCCTTGGGTTCCTGATGCTGCCATGGGCTCCAGGCTCCTCTGCTGGGTGGCCCTTTCTCTGCTGGGAGCAGGTGAGTCCTGGGTACAGCTTCTTCTCTGTGTTCATCATTCCTGGAGCACATGTCAGCCCAGGATGGCTCAGCGGGACCCTTGCTCCTGGGCTCTGCTCTTAGCTCCATCTCCTCCCACAGGCCCAGTGGACTCTGGAGTCAAGCAAACCCCAAAACATCTGATCAAAGCAAAAGGACAGCAAGTGACACTGAGATGCTCCCCTCTCCCTGAACACCTCTCTGTGTACTGGTACCAGCAGACCCCGGGCCAGGGGCCTCAGTTTCTCTTTCAGTATTACAGTGGGGAAGAGAGAGAAAAAGGGACGAACATCCCCAGTCGATTCTCAGCGCAGCAGTTCCCTGACTACAGCTCTGAACTCAACCTGAGCTCCTTGGCGCTGGGCGACTCAGCTCTGTTCCTCTGTGCCAGCAGCCTGGCACAGCCACCCATGAGTATCAGCCTTCAGTACAAAATCATTCCTGCCTGTGTCAGGAAGTGGCCAGGAGGGTGGAGCCTCAGCCAAGCGAGTTCAGGCCTGGGAAGCTGCCAACCTGTCCCAGACACCTGTTGTGGAGTGCATTTAGCTGCTCTAGTGCCACAGCAGTGGTGCAGGGCAGTGCCATTCACCTGTTCCCATCCCTGATGGGACGCAGCTTCCTGATCTCATGCAGTCATTGGGTGATGTCAGCTCCTCAACCCAGGTGTTCCCCCACCCCTCACTCTGCAAATCTGCCCCCTCCACTGGCTTCCCTCTCCCAGGTCCCCACTAGCAGGCTGGAAAGGTCATGCAAACATGCATCTTAACCTCCTGCGTGGGCTGGGGTTGTGGCTCAGTAGTAGAGAGCTTGCCTAGCACGTGTGAGGCACTGGGTTTGATCCTCAGCAGTGCATTAAAAATAAATAGATAAATCAAAGGAGTTGTGTCCATCTACCACAAAACAAAACAAAACCTCTTGGGTGACTTGTCCAAGGAACTGTGACTTCAAGGCAAATCATATCCCAATGGGTACTGCATCGTGAAGAAAAAGAAACAGAAAATTTTCTGCACTGTGGTCCTCTAATGCTGGTATAGACCAGGCCACATCATATTTCTCTCATGGTCGCCTGAGAGTAGTGAGAGTTCCCAGCTGGGTAAGAGGAAGGGCATTTGCAGAAGTGTCATCTTCTTATGGGTGACAGTCAGACCTGAGAGGAAGAAACAGTATCATTTTTAGTTACTCATTTACTTTATACCTTTATCCAACAAACACTTTTTGGTACCTGACTGTGTCCAAAGCATTGTTCACAAAAGAATAAAAAAAATCAAGGAAATGGGGGGAAAGGAAAATAGAAAAAAATGAAAAAAAACTGCTTTGTGTCTTTGAATATACATAAGTGTACAGGATTTTGATCAGTTTCTGAATTGTGCACATTTACTCTTTAGCTAACTACCCATTTTGAAAGATTTATTTTGTTGTGGCCCAGATATTAAATGAGCTCTAACTCACCAAGCTTTGAAGAGCACAGTATTCTTTATGTATGGACACAGTGTTGCAGAGCAGATCTCTAGAACTTGTGCGTCTTGCATCATGGAAATTTTGTACCCTTTGATGGCAGCTCCTGCATCTCCTACCTGCCAGCCCTGTCAACCACCATTCGGTTCTCTGTTTCCAGGAGTTTGACTATTTTAGATCACCTCTATAAGGTGACATGCAGTATTTGTCTATTTTTGACTGGCTTATTTCAATATGCATGTCCTCCATGGGTGTGGCTGTGTGTCATAGGGCAGGAATTTCTTCATTTTTTATGGCTTGGTAATATCCCGTCATATGTATATACCATGTTTAAGTGGACACTTTTCAAACTGTACATTGTTTGGCTTTCCTATGGAAACCATGCATCACACTAGTATCCCTGGGGACAGTTTCAGACTGCAAGCACAAGTACTCTAATATACATTCACAGCTCAACACTTCTCTGTGGAGAAGACTCAGGAATAATAACAATGTCATTGTTCATTACAAATTTGCTTTGTATGAAATATACTCTTCACTTGGAACATTTCATTTAATCAGAAATGCAGTTATCAGAGAAAAACTTAAGAAGAAAATGCTATTATTGTCAACAATTTCAGTTGAGGGAATTGACCTATAAATAAAATAACCTGACTAAACCAAATAGCTGTTAGGGTGAGACCTGAGACTCAACCCCTGGTTTAAGTCCTGTGTTTGAAATTCTATGCAACCATGAACATTCATAAAGAAAGATCACTACATTCACAATGACAGTGTTGTCCCCTTTGTTCCTTCAGGCCTAGATATAATTAAGTCATTAATAGTCATCCATTCTTCATTAGATAGTAAAAAGATCTTGTGAGCGCCACATATGCCTGCTGACTACAGCTCCAACGAGCTCCTCGAGACTGGGACCAGTTTCTTGATGTGCTTGGCTGAGTATATTCATCTAAGAATGTCTCTATCAGTCAGAGCTCTCCAGAGACACAGGCTAATAGGATCTATCTATCTATCTATCTATCTATCATCTATCTATGTTCATTATAAGCAATTGGCTAATGCAATTATGGAGGTTGGTAAATCCAAAATCTGCAGGGTGGGCTTGTGGGCTGGAGAGCCAGGGAGAGCAGATGCCACAGCTCAGAGGCTGTCAGCTGACAATACTCTCTGACCTCCAGGAAGGTTTGTTTATTTGTTCTAGTCACACCTTAAATTGATTTGATGCGCCATCCACATTACAGAGGATGATCTAATTTTCTCTACTGGTGAAAATGTTAGTTTAATCTCATGTGAAAGATTACTGTCTTATATGATAATCTCATCTAAAACTACCCTCAGAGAAATTTCTAGAATAATGTTTGACTGAACTATCCTGGCAGTAGTCATACAAGCCAACACTAAATTTCCTAACTCACCATCTTCAGAGATGTATACAGATATAATAAATATAAATTCCATGGAATCTGGTAGAATGACAATGCAGAGATCTGGATTCCCTCTGCTAATCTCAGAGCCTCGTCCATCATTCCTTTTGTGAAAAAGCAAATACCAGCACATTTTGCCTAGCTGACTTACAGCTGAAGATTCAAACATCACACAGAAATGGAAATATATATGCCTGATGGTTCACCACAGGAAATTAACTAGTATACATCCCTAGCCAGATATTTGATGATTAGCCTTATTGATAGATATATAAATCAAGGGAGTAAAAACTACAAATTTTAAATAAATGTGCAAATGATATTATATGTATGTATGTATGTATGTATGTATATGTGTGTGTGTGTGTGTGTGTATATATATATATATATATATATATATATATATATTCACATAATCCCCCCCAGAAAGATATATAGAATAATATATAAAATATGTCCAGCACCAGGTAAATTTCATCATGATCCTTTCAATGAATTTGATTTGTCCATCCATTTTAATCAATGACATGATTTATGTTGCAGCGGAATAATTTTTCTTCAAACATGTTAACAGAAATTTTAAATCTCTACCAATTTAAAATAACACCTTCTCTTTAACATTTAGCTAAACATTTAAGAGTTGGAGTTGCTTCTGGAAAGTCTGTGGTTTTGGAAGTGTTTGAGACCATATGACATACCTGATCCATGATAGGGACAATTCTGACTGAAGATGGAAGATGTGGTAAAAGGATCTTCAGGTCTACCCCACTGGCAGAGGCCGATTCCACTTTTACTCCTTTGCCTTCATTTCTCATCTCATGTAGTCATTCAGTCAAATTCTTTTGTGTTCATATTTGCAAAATGAATCACTTTCCCAGGGTATTATTTTGAGCCCTCATGATATTGCATCTGCACACTGAATGTTCTGGAGCTGAGCAAACCAGGGAGTAGTGACTTAACGGAGGGATGGTACCACACCAGGAGAGAGCTCTTATTGTCTTGATTCTGAGTGCCCATTAAATAAGAAACATAGGCCCTGGGCACCAGGCTGATGTACTATGTGCTCCTCCATCTCCATCTAAAACCCAATATCATATAATATATGTTATATTATATGTATCATTATTATATACCAGCTTCATAACTTGTTGAAACTTTGCTCAAATATTGTTAAGAATTAAGAATTTTCTAGATAATAACAGCAGATTATTAAACCAACCCTGAGGTCCTTCTACCTTAGGAGCTCTGTGTAACAGGATACAGTTTCTTAGCTCCCCTATTTTTAGCACTTAATAATGACAGGGACATGAACAAGGGGCTATTCCCTATGAAATATAATGTCTCAAAGAAGAATAGCATTTTTTTTCTCATCTTTGAATCAGCCAACTCTTTCCAAGTCCTCCACATACTTCCTCTCTGTGCCAACAGGTCACCTGAATGGTCCCCATTCTCTACAAGGGGAGGGAAATCACCAAAATGAGGTTCTCTGCATTGAGATCTCACCTGAGCACAGGGACCAAGTGCTCTGGGTGGATGAGAAGGTGCCCTAGCTACCTTTGCCAGATGTCCCACCTGCCAAGTAATCCACAAGTAACAGACCAAACATGACTCAAATGCTTATAAGCCCCTCCTGGGATTTAGAAACTGGATCCCCAAAAGTATTATTCACTGCAGGCCAAAGGCTTTAGCTGTGTTGTGATCAGTTGTGAACATTTGAAAATCATACTTGAAGGAGAATTTGGGACACACAGGTCAAAAGCCACCAGGCAGCCATAAGGATTTTCCTAAGTTGCTGGACTCCAGAAATGTTAGATGACTGAACCAAAGTAGTAAGAAAGAGTGACAGCGTCACTGGAGCATAATATCCACGGGGTTATAGACTGTTTCACAAAATGGTCAAGAGAAACGTGATGACTGTGTCATTTTGGACAAATGGGTTCCATTCTAAGCCACTTACTTGGGCATTCATTTGGGGGCTGACCTTCTGGGGAAGGGGCATGGCCCCACGTGACAGGAAGTCTCTGGATTTCCTGAGGTCCCAGAGTGACACCTTGGAGGTTCCTGTTCTGCTTTCTGCAGCACAGGGACCTAGAAGACCCTTCTGTCTGCCCGGCCCCTGCCATGAGTCTCAGTGTCCTGTGCTGGGTGGCCATTTGTCTCCTGCAGGCAGGTGGGTGCTGGCAGGTCTGTGGGATTTCCAGTTCCCAGTGCCAACCTGTGACCTGGGGCTGCAGCACCAGCTTCTCTCTTATCCTTCTCTACAGGTCCAACAAAAGCTGGAATCACTCAGAGCCCTAAATCCCAGATTCTGAAGATAGGACAACGCATGACCTTGACATGTGCCCAAGATATGAACCATGACAGCATGTACTGGTATCGACAGGACCCAGGGCTGGGGCTGAGACTGATCCATTACTCACATAATGTTAGAAACGAGGAAAAAGGTGAAGTTCCCGATGGATACAGTGCCTCCAGGTCAAGTAAAGAGAACTTTCTTCTTACTCTGGAGTCCCCCACCCCCTCCCAGACATCTGTGTACCTCTGTGCCACCAGTTACTACACAGTGCTTCAGGGCCACCTGCTCTCTGCACAGAAAGGCAGGGGAGGCCCTGTGCCCCAGGCTCAGTGTCACCCTGGACAGTGTCTCACCACTGGGAACTTGGAGCTCTGAGGAATCCAGGCAGCTCTGGGGATCTCAGCTTGATGGCCTTCAGACCATTTCAGCCAGGCCTCAACCTGACCCTGGGCTCAGATGCCTCTTCTAGAGCTCCCTAGTCTTTGCTCTGGACCATGCCATGTGGGTGGGATGTTCTTTCACCATCTTTACTTTTCAAGTCACAGGCTTTAGTCTAC